ACCTTTTGGGGCCTCCCGAGTAGCAGGCTCAGGATCTAAAAACCAAGCTGTTAAGGAATGCTGGTCTCCCTTATCCAGCCTGGCATGTGGCCCTGGCCAAGCTGTCGCCAGCTCTGTTTTCTCATTCTCTCCCTTGTAATACAAGAGCAGTTTTTTTTTTTTTTTTAACCTCTTCTTCTGACTGCCCCCAGCATGCTGAAGCAGCACAGGGAGCAGGTGTAAAAGCTTAGAGAAAATTGGCTCTGTTTCCTGGGGCCAGGGGCCTGAGGATTTTCACCCACGCAGGCTCTGGGATTCACTAACACACTCACCATGGAAACAGAAGAGAAAGGGAAAGAAGGTGATAAAGTTCTGAAGGGAAAAAAAGCAAGAGGGAGGGGAAGAGGTTCCATGTCAGCCCAAGTGCCCCCCAGTGGTTTGCCAGCGAAAGTACGGCATTTTCCAGACACTTGCTGGCCAGAAGGAGGTGGGAACTCCACCCTGAGCGGAGATTCCCAGTGCTGCCACCCGGCTCCAAGATAGACCTGTAGCTAGAATGAGGTCCCAGAATTAGGGCTATCCCCGCTCCCCAAATATCCAGAAGGCTTCTTGGAGCCCTGCATAACCACAGCGAGGCTGGAGTCCTTGCTGTGGTGGCCTTGAGTCGGTGGGTCTATGTTATCTTTCCCTTGCCGTTTAGTCATTTTCCTGCGTTTTTCCATGTAGAAGCCTTCCAACTTGTTCGTCTTTTCATCAGCCAGCTAAAGCACACACCTTGCCTGTGTCCACAGGTTGAAAAACTGGCAAGGACACTGTTTTTGTGGAAGATTGAGGTCCATGACCAGAAGGAACGTGTTTACGAGATGCGGCGCTGGAATGAGGCCTTGGTCACCAACATGTTGCCTGAGCACGTGGCACGCCACTTCCTGGGGTCCAAGAAGAGGGATGAGGTGAGGGGTGGCCTCATGGCGTAGCCTGTAGCCATGAGGCTGACCTTACTTTCATCAGCCCCTCTGGGCCAAGGCCGTCTCAGAAGCTGGCACTGGTCCAGGCAGGGCTGCACACAAGCAGCAACTGCAACATAAGCAAGGGAGGAATTTCACAAGCTTTCAGTAAAGGGCACTACTAAGATTTTCCGTGGGCTGCACATCATTTTCAGATGAGGCCTTGGCTGGAGCCTACCAGTCAGTTGTGATCCCCTCACACGGAAGGGCTCTTATGCTTCACTCCCCCAACTCCATCCTTTCTCAAAGCTAGACTGGTTACAGGGCCTAGAGAAACTTTTTTACTCATTCAAAGTTGTGATGAGCCACTGCCTTATAACCCAAAGTTAGGATAATCTGGGAGGGAACTGTCCAAAAAGCTGAATGTACTAAACGTGTGTGGAAGATAGATTCATTTCTGTGGCACATCATTCCACTGGTATTTCTTTGAGTACTGTGGCCCTGCCTCTTTTTAGGAGCTGTATAGCCAGTCTTACGATGAGATTGGAGTCATGTTTGCCTCTCTACCCAACTTTGCCGACTTCTACACAGAAGAGAGCATCAATAATGGTGGCATTGAGTGTCTGCGCTTCCTCAATGAGATCATCTCAGACTTTGATTCTGTGAGTGCCCATCCTGCTTCTCTCCTGCCCCAAAGCCAGCTCATTCCAGATTCTCAGGACAGGCTGCAGAAGCCAAAGGGAAGTTGTAGTTACCCTGTCTGCTCCGTTTTCTTAGATGAGCCTCCCTGTGATGCAGGAACTTCAGTAGCCTGGTGGAGCTGAGTGGGGAAAGCGGAGCCTGGGAAGTTGCCTACAAGTTCACAGCATAAAGACTGGCCAAAACAAGATCCTGAGGCCCCAGGTTCCTCCTACCCCCAAATTCAGATTCAGTAAATATTAAGAAAATTGTATACCAAGGCAAATACTTTTACATACATGCTCAAATACCCTAGGGGCCTGGCAGCTTTGTCCCATGTTAAGGTCCTAGAAACAGGCTCAATCAGGAAGACTGCCTAACATCATGTGCCCAACAAACGGCAGAATAGGTAGGGTTTTTAGGAAAGCATCTCTTGGAAGACTTGGGTTGCTGTGAACAGGCATATCTGTCATTAGTTGGCTCATTCATCTCCCTAGACTCTACTGACGTTTCTTTCTTTTTCAACACTGGCTCAGCTTCTGGACAATCCCAAATTCCGGGTCATCACCAAGATCAAAACCATTGGCAGCACCTATATGGCAGCTTCAGGAGTCACCCCAGATGTCAACACCAACGGCTTTGCCAGCTCCAACAAGGTAGCTAACCACATCAGTGGCTGGAGATGGGGCTCTGCTTCCTGAGGTGAGAGAGAGGCAGCCCACACCTAGCATGTGTGAACCAAGGAGTTACAAGGGTAGCGGACCCTGCTGAGTGCTGCTGTGCCAGTGGGTCACCCATATATACCACCAGCACCACGTGATATAAATTTAAAATCGGGTTTACTGGCAAAGTTTAATGAGCAGAGAAATAATCAGATACATGATCCCTCCATTGTTGCACAGCTTAGAGCAGAAGCTGCTCCAGCAGTGGCCATGCTCCCTTCATGCTCTAGACTTTTGAAAGAACTAGGGAGGAAGTAGAAACTGTCCATGAGATTATGTAACAATGAAAACATCCAGGTTGGGAGTTTTGTTACAGAAGGGGTCTTCAGAGCACACTGGCTGGCATCAGCCTGTTCTTTTGTTAAATCAGACCTGTGCAGCTAGTTGTTTAGCTACTAGGAAAGGAAATGAGCTGTGGGGACCCTGGTCCCAAGAGCTGTTTCTTAAGCTATTATCATCTTGTTTTATCTTAAAACCATTCTATAGGAGGTAAGTACTATTACCACCTCCATTTTATTGGCAAGGCTAAAAAAATGTGTTTAAAAAGGGTTGTGGCCTTCAAGTGTTTATAATCTAGTTAAGGAATCAAAATGAGAACTATCCCAAACCTAAGAGACCAGGTCAGGCAAGGTTAATGATGAGGTAGGTAGGACTCCTGATCAGCTACATGGCAGACAGGAAGCCATTTGGCTGGGGAGGATTGGTCTTCCCCACCTGGGGACCCTAAGGGATCCAGGTGAACAGTCAGTGGCAAGCAGAGGCAGCAGTCACCGATGCCTCTGTGGTAAGTGGAGAATAAGGCCTTTAACAAGGAGATGCAGAATTCTCCAGATGCTGGAGGAGGAGGAAGGTGTCGATACTGGCTCCTGACACTCTCCCTGCTGCTCCCTGGCACAGGAGGAGAAGTCAGACAAAGAGCGCTGGCAGCACCTGGCTGATCTGGCTGACTTTGCTCTAGCCATGAAGGATACACTCACGAACATCAACAACCAATCCTTCAACAACTTTATGCTGCGCATAGGTAAGCGTTTTTCAGCTTGTGTGCCCCTGAAAGGCTCCCTCTGAAGCAGGGTACTCAGCAAATCGACAGGAAGGGCGAGAGACTTAGCCCTGAGGCATTTAGGTTGGGGAGGGTCACACATACAGCTCAGGATGGGACCTTAGGGATCTCTCCCAGATGACGACTGCAATCTGACAAAATGATGGTCAGCTGTGTCCCATACCGCTTACAGCGATTAGCCTGCTTTCTGAGTATGGCTGGAAGTCAGGCTGTCTACCGCCCCGAGCAATCCCCCGTGCCTGCAGAGAGCTTTGCTACTTTGGTCCAGCCTGTTGGGAGCTAATGTCCCCTGCTGCCCCAAATAGGAAGAGGCGCAGGGATTCTCATCCTGGGTGAGGTCACAAGACACTGGAACTTCCATACTGCATAAATTAGTTACCACAATGGCCAGGACAGGATAAAGAGGAGACATATCTGCCCTCTGGTGGCTTAGAGACAAGCTTCATGAGGAATAGGTTAACAGACTCAGGAGCTTGCTCAGTGGTTGGGGTCAGGTGGTGAATTCTCTATTAGAGCTGGTGGCTTCTGAGATGGGATAATGACAAAATACAGCTCGTGGCTGTACTCAATGTTTTCTTCTCCGCCAGGCATGAACAAAGGAGGGGTACTGGCTGGGGTCATTGGAGCCCGGAAACCACACTATGACATCTGGGGCAATACTGTCAATGTGGCCAGCAGGATGGAGTCCACAGGGGTCATGGGCAACATTCAGGTAGGTCCAGCAACAGAGATGAGCATGTGCTCAGACCCAGGGGATGGGAAAAAAATCAGGACAGGGTGTATTTGGCCATGCACCACTGCCTCTGTGTCAGCCCAGAGTAGCAAGCTGGTAATTCTGGGAGATTACAGGCAAAGGTGGGAAGAGATGTCTCAGTAGAAGGGAGGAAATACTTCGCCCCGCTTTCTAAAATTTAAGTTCTTCTTTAGACTATCCTGCCTCTTGGTAAGAACTTTCTAACCTCTTGTGCCTCCAGCAGTTCCCCCCTGAAGTCATCCTGAATGGAGTCACCTGGGTTGGGCTAGAAAGTGCCTCAGAGTAGGGACAGGAGACAAAAGAACAGGGAGTGCTTACTGTCCCCAGAGGATGGCCATGGGTTCTCTGTGGCAGCATCACAGTCTTTGGGAGAGGAAAAGACCTTAGGCAAACCACCCTGTGCCTACTGGTATATAGAATAAGGGGTTTGGCCCAAGAGGTCTGGAGAAGAGCATGACAGACGGGCTCACTGGGACCTGTAGGCTACATGCAGATACCTCTGGGCAGTCCTGGTCTGAGACCACACTATGTTCTTCTACAGGTGGTGGAAGAAACACAAGCCATCCTTCGAGAGTACGGCTTCCGCTTTGTGAGGCGAGGGCCCATCTTTGTGAAAGGGAAGGGGGAGCTGCTAACCTTTTTCTTGAAGGGGCGTGACAAGCCAGCTGCCTTCCCTAATGGCTCCTCCGTCACCCTGCCCCACCAGGTGGTGGACAACTCCTGAATGGCCTCTAGCCCCACAACAGTCCAAATGGGAAGGGAAAATCTATTTTTTGGAGTCAAAGAAAGGCCCTGGGAAAGGACAAATGACCAAGTCCCAACATTCCCAAATTGTTGAAGTGCACACTCACATAGACTTTAGGTTTAAAAATCTCCTCAAGCCTTCATTTGTTCATGGATACGTGAGCTCTGAGGATGGCCATACTATTCCTCAGTGTGCCTGCAGCTTCCTCAGAGAGTAGGGGTCTTAGGCGTAGTACTGGAACAATCCTTCCGGAGCCCTGGGTCTGACCAGCCCTCCTTCCCCCAGAGAGGCCATGGCCACTGTGAGTAGGAAATGTGTCCGGGGTGGAACAAAGCAGCCTTTGCTTCCAGGCTGGGAGCAGAGATGGGAAAGCTGTACTTCAGAAGAGGACTTGGCGGCTGAGCAGGCAAGTGTTCTGCTCCCCAGCGCTCACCTGGAAGCAGCCTTTTCAAGCTGGAGACCTGCTTGTCTCCATATGGTCCAGGTTAGGTGACCTGGCCCTCATGCTGATGTTCCTGGTAATCTTGAAAGGTTCTTCTGGAACCCCTGCCACCTTAGTTATGAGAGCAGAAAGTGCAATATTTCCTTTTACCTGGTGGGAGGGAGGGAAAGGGAATTTATTTCTGAGAGAAAAATATATAAACAGATCTTCTACATTTATATTTTTAACTTTCTGTTAAAAAAAAAAAAACACTTTCCGATATTGCCTTGCCTCTTGAGCTCTTGCTACAGTCGCCTTTGCTACTGCTTTAAAAGAGAATTTACAGGTATTGATAAACAAGACTGTTTTATTAAAAGCTTTATTCAACTTGAATGTGATCACTGTGAGAATTCTGTTAAGTACTTTGCTAACTCACACCATGCATCCTTACCACATGCCTGAAAGGCAAGAGCCTGAACTAAGACATGTGATTAGTCTCAAACTCCTTTCCTCTAAATGGTGGTCCAAGCTGACCCTACCTGTCCCCTGGGCACCCACACCAGGTAGGTTGCTTCCCGATCATCAAGTCTAGGAAGTGACCACATTAGAGGCCTGGATGCAGCTCTGGGTCCAGGGCAGGAAGGAAAGTAAAGACTCCTATTTGTGACTGCGCAAAGCGAGGACAGGCATTGAAATCGCTGGACCCTGCCAGACACAGGCTTTCACATCTGAGCACCATCCCTATACATATCCCCATAAGGAACAAAATGTGTCAGCAAGGCTGAGGCCAGTATTATAAGGAGAAAGGATCCACACACTGAGATCAGAAGACTGCAAGGGCTGGGGGGTTGGAATAACCATGCAGCTGTGGCTGAGAACTTGCAGGAGAGAGATAAGGGAGGGTGGGTCTGCTTCCGTTTATTACCACTGAGTTTGAGCAGACTTACAAACTCTCTACTAGCATGTTTAGAACAAGATATTAGCTACATAGAGCCCTGATATCCACAGTACTTTTTTCTTTATAAAACTGTAGCCTAGAACAAACTGCTTCGAAATAAAGATCAAACACACCTTCTCCTTAACTGTGTGATTCCTGTCACATAAGGAATCTAGAGTGTTCTAAGAACTTTCTCTGCAAAAGTCTCAAAGTAAGGCAGACTTAAAGCTTTCATTAAAAGCTAGACATACCTTTTAGCTAAAAGATACAAACTCCCTTTCACAAAATGCCTTCTGCCCCATAAACCATTCTGATTTTCATCTAAAACATATGCTCAATACCTCCACCGTCCAAACTTGCCCCCTGCCACCCTGATGAGGTGGGTGACTGTTCTCATTGCAAGGACAGTCCCCAGGCAGGGGTCTGAGCCTTTCAATACTTTGCAGTTCCTAGGACCTAGCCTGGGACTATGCACAGTATTATTTTACTCACTTTTGACGTGTTCCCAATGAAAATAGTATCCTAGACCTGGGTCACATCCAACTTCTCTCCTTTTCTTGCAAATGAAGTAAAAGCTTGATGTAAGGGCTTCGTAAAAAACAGATTTTCATGAGATGCTCGTTGTTCTTCCCAAGAGGGGGGTAATGCATCCGTTTCTAAAACATTATATCAATCTCCTTTAGTGAAATTGAGGGAATCAGAACCCAGATCATTGATATTCTGGACTCACGTAACCTGTTTTTTCGCTCTAGAACTGAGACCAAATGAAATTTTGAGACCCAAACAGACACTGTCAGAAGTCTAAAACCTATGGTGTGAAATCTGTGGCAGCTTCAAAACTTCCACCTCCTAAAAATATTTGATCCCATTTTTCATTATTGCCCATGACACATGACTATGGTACATTAAACTAAAACAATAACACAACTCAGCCAGCCGTAAGAAATTCCCATATACAGAAGAGTCTCTAGAGAACTAAGTGTATACTTATTTGTCTAATTGGCTTCTTAGTGAAATGAGTATTTTGGCCTTCTTCAACACAAGTAACCCTACGACTCCGCCTCATTAGCTGTCTCTCTTCAAGAGGGGTTTCCAATGACAACAAATCACAAACTGATGGAACACTGGCAGAGTTGGATGGAGCAAAGGAGGTGGGAACTAGGGTAATTATGTTTGCTACTAACAAAAGAGAGGAAAAATGGTAAAAAAAAAAGGAAAATATTCTTTGTATCTTAGTAAATTTCTAGTCAATTAACAGGTCTCCAGAGGTCCAACGGATACAGTCTTACCTATTTTACTATGTTTCATTTAACTTGAATCACACAGAGCACGTTATTTCTTCATTGAGGCATCTTCCTCTCACCTGGGTAGGTAATGGTGACGTCCGTTGGGAGGGTGGTTGTGAGGTCCTTATACAGCAGTCTAGCACAAAACAGGAACAACTGACCCCGCAGCTCCACTTTGTAAGTAAATGACAGCAAGTTGCACAGCGGGTTTCTCTGCAAGGGCCGAGCGAGATAGGCTGCAAAGTCACTCTGAAGAGGGTGGGGATCAAGACACAAAGTATATGATGATTATAGTTCCAAAGGCAGTGAGTGGTGGTGACTTCAAACAGATCTACAAAAATAGGGCCCATGAATCAAATTTCAGAGACTTAAAGGACTGAGAAAAGTCTAAAAAGAACGAATGATAAAGATTTAAAAGATAACTAAGAGTTGGCAGCATCCTAGGAAGGCCTGCAGGAAGTGCTAAATAATTGGCCAGAGCCTGGGGACAAAAGGGAGATATGTTGTCTTTGTATAGCTGGCTAAAATGCTTTGTGTCTGCATTCTCATATCAGTTTAACTAACAACCAAGAGCTTCAGAGTCATTCTAAATGCATGGGAGGGAGGCACTAACTTATAAAAAGTCACCTATTCTTTATCTGCATTCATTTCCTGTCTACTTAAAAAAACTTGTTTTACCCCAAAACTAGCTCCACTGCAACCCTGAGAAGCTAGGCCAGAGTTTAGGCAAAGATGGATAGTATTCCCCTATGTAATTTTCTGCTTTGCATCTATATAGACCCAAGGTTCAGCAAGACACTTGGCACATAGTAGGTACTCTATATACCCACTGAATTAAAAGCATAGAAACTATACAGACATATGTCGGAGATACTGTGGGTTCAGTTCCAGACCACTGCAATAAAGTGAGTCAAATGAATTTTCTGGTTTCCCAGGACATTTCTGTTTACACTACACTGTAGTCTATTAAGTATGCAATAGCATTATGTCTAAAAAAACCAATTACACATCTTAATTAAAAAATACTTTCTCACTAAAAAATGCTAACCATCATTTGAACTTTCAGTGAGTCATAATCAATGATCAGATCACCATAACAAATGAAAAAGTATGAAATATTGCGAGAATTGCCAAAATGTGAGAGACACAAAGTGAACAAGTTGGAAAATGACACCAATAGGCTTGCTCAACAATTGCTACAAACCTTCAATTTGTAGAAAAATGCAGTATCTGCAAAGAGCAATAAAGTACAATAAAATGAGGTATGACTATACTACTTTGTGAAGGAAGAAAGGGTCAAGTATAAAAGCCTGAGGACCACCATTCAGGAGTGAATAATCCTGTAAGCAGTACCCACACTTCAACAGCATCCAGTTTCAACAGGGGAAGGAGGTGGACAATAGCTTGTATATAAATAGGAAACACACATGAGAAGGATAATGGTCAAATATCTGGCTCAGAATTATAAAATATTTTAAAATACAGAAGAAAATTTGCCTTCCCCACCCCCTTTTAAGCCTATTCTGGGCTCATAACGTGCTATGTAAGATTCCAGACAGATACCTGAAGTCGATCTGCCTGGTACTTCCTTCCAGCATAAGCATTTAGGTATTCACAAAGACAGAACAGGAAGCGCTGAATATTAGTCTGCAGGTATTTTGCAGATATCTCCTCCAAGGGAATGAAGATTGGAATTGAATGGTGATGTATCCAAAGTGGCTTCTGTAGAACAAGGTCGATAAAATAGGAATCCAGCAGATTTCCCTCAAAAGCAGTGCTGATGCAGACACAGACCCCTCGGCTGGTCAGTTTCCCACTAAGCCCTGAAGCAAAGAAGGCAACACCCCTCAGCAAATGTCAGCAAAGGCAGGATCTTCTTCAGCTGCACATTCCATTCGCTTTAGCATTGCCTCATAAATACAGTACATGTTCAAATGTGTTGAAAGAACATCACAGACTCTTTTCACTTACTCTGGCTCACTTTGAATGTGAGTTATTAAAACCACAGAAGAATGGTGGAAAAGACAAAAACATCCTAATATCAAATTATGGAAAAACATTTTGAAATTTTCATTTTACTTCTTTTTCTGAGTGTCAATTAATGTCCAGTTTCTTCTACAATCTATGCCATAGATAATGGGCAGGATAGATCCCCATTTTAATGGGGAAACAGAGACTTAATGGGTTCAAACTATTTGACCAGTGGCATTAAGCCAGCCAGCAGCAAAGGCAGTTCTTTTTTTTTTTTTTTTTTTTTAAGATTTTATTTATTTATTCATGAGAGACAGAGAGAGGCATAGACACAGGCAGAGGGAGAAGCAGGCTTCATGCAGGGAGCCTGATGTGGGACTTGATCCCGGGACCCCAGGATCACGCCCTGGGCCGAAGGCAGGCACTAAACCGCTGAGCTACCCAGGGATCCCCAAGCAAAGGCAATTCTAGTACAAGTTCTGACACACACTGAATAGCTAAAATGAATAATCTAAGCCAGCCCCCAACCAACCTTTGCAAAAAGAGGCCAATTTTGTAGGTCAAGATGCCTACAAATAGTATGCCAGCTTGGTGTGTGTATGTTGAGGAAGGCAAAAATCTAAGCTCATGAAATAAGTCCAAGACTAATGATACATATAGCAAACCAACTCACTAGAAGCAAGAGACTCAGACTGGAATAGGTCAGAAAATAAATTATACCTGTAAAACGATATGCCTGCAGAATAGCTTTCACATTTTCCTGTCTTCTTTCTGCAACTTCTTGCTCACCGATTTCCTGTGTTTGATCAGGCTCTTCATTAGCAATAGATGCTCTAACCTGCAAAGTACACAGCAAACCAAACTGGATAGGGGCACCACAAAGGGTCCTTGGCCTCACACAAGCAAAAAGAAAACTAAGTGCAGTGTATTTATTGTATAACAACTCAAGAAATGCTACAATGACCAGTTAGTGCTATGAATTCACAACAGAGGAAGAACCTTGTGGGTCACAGTGCCAGGAATCAGAAGTAGAAACTGTGCTGGCCTGAAGAACAATTACAACTTTGGTGGAAATGGAGAGTATTGTGAGAAGAACAAGAAAAGGGTGTGAGCAAAGTCTAGGATAAGTACAGGGTGAACAAAACAATGAAAACAACATACCACAACTTAAGGGATATAGTTAAAGCCAAGTGCTATGGACTGAATCTTTGTATCCTTCAAAATTCATACACTGAAACCTAATGCCCAATGTGGTGGTATTTGGAGGTGGGGCCTCTGGCTGGTAAGTAGGTCACAATATTGAGGCCCTCATGAATGGGATTAGTACCCATGTAAGGGACCCCAGAAAGCTAGTTTGCCCCTTCGATCATATGAGGCTACATGAGAAGACTTCATGAGGAACCAGGTCCTCACTGGACATTGAACCTGCCAGGCCCATAATTTTGGATTTCCCAACCTCTCGAACTGTGAGACACATGTGTTACTGATAAGCCACCCAGTTTATGGTATTTTTGTTACAACAGCCCACATTAACTAAGACATTATGTTTTGTGGGAAATTTATAACCTCACATACAAAAAAGAGAAAAGAAAGACTACAAAAAAAAAAAAAATCAATTAAGGTTTCATTTCAGGAAGCTAAAAGCAACTTAAATCCAAAAAGAAGGAAGGGTAGAATGATAAGATGTTAATAAAAATACAACAAAAATGTATAATAGAGAAAATCAATAATGCCAAAAGTTGGTTCTTTAATAAAATTAATACAAAATTGATAAAACTTAACAAAACTGACCAAGGAAAGAAAAAGAATGAAGAGTGAACACAAATTACTAGCATCAGAATAAAAATGAGACAATACTACTGACCAACTTTAACATGTGAGTTTACATGAAATAGACAAATTCCCTGAGAAATGCAACTTACTAAAGATGACCCAAGAGGAAATAGGAAATTTATATTCAATCAATTCCTATTAAAATTATATTAATTTATATTTATAATAATTATATTGATATATTTATAGTAATATATTAACAATATTAATATAAATTAGTCGATTTATATTAATCAAAGAAATTGAGTCATAAACTTAAAACCTTCCCAGAAGAGTCCCGAAGGGCTTTACCAGGTAATTCTTTATAAAAATTTAAGGAAAAACCACATTTATTTTATAGAAGCTATTCCAGCAAATAGAAAAAAAGGGAAAACACCCCAACTTGCTTTCTGAGACCGGGTTAAACTTGATGCCAAAACCTCACATGGATATTAAAAAAATTTCACAAGATAATCTCATGAATTTAGATGTCAAAGTCCAACTAGCAAATATAATTCAGCATTATATAGAAAGGATAACACATCAAACCAAATTAGGTTTATCCCAAAAATGTAAGCCATCATCACTCAAACACCAATCAATATGTATCACCATATGATCATCTTAATATATGCAGTAAAAATATTTAAGAAATTCAAGACCTGATCACAAAACTCTAGCAAACAAGATATAGAAGAGCATTTCCTTAATTTGATAAGAGTATCTCTACAAAATATAGAGCAAACAGGCTGACTCTAAGACGATTTCTACTCAATATACCGAAGATCTTAGCTAATCGAATAAGGCAAGAAAAACAAGTTACAAGGGTTGGAAAGAAGTAAAACTTATTGTTTGCTTATGACATGATTCCAAATGTAGAAATCCCAAAAGAATAGAGAGATAAATAGAATTAATGTAGATTTAGCAATGTTATGATATATAAAGTCAATATACAAAAATCAAATATATTTCTACATAACAATTTAAAAATAAAATTTCTAAAAAATAATACCATATATCACAGGTCATCAAAATGTGGTTTGTGGGTCAAACCCAACTTGATACTTATTTTTGTAGTAAGGTTTTACTGGAACACATTCATTAATTTACATATTGTCTATGGCTGTTTCACAAAACACAGAGCTGAGCAGCTCCCATAAATACCAACTGGCTCACAAAGCCTAAAATGTTGATGATCTGGCCTTAGGAAAAGTTTGCTTATCTCTGCCATATACAGTAATATCAGGAAAAATCAAATACATAAAGATAAATATAATGAAAGATGTTTAAGATCTCTGCACATAAAACTATACATAATACTGAGAGAAACTGAAGAACTAAATAAATGGGAAGATATATCATGTATATTAGCTAGAAGATGCAATACTGAAAATACTTCAATTCCCTCCAAATTAGTGTATACATTAAATGCAATCCCAATCAAAACTATAGGTTTTTGGAAACTGATGGCTGATTCCCAAATTTATGTAAAATTCAAAGGGCCAAGAATACCCAAGATAATTCTGAAGGAGACAACATATATGACAGGTGTCAACATTTAAGAGTAAATGAACCTCTGGTACAAGCACAAATAGACCAATGGAACAGAAGTCAGAAACAGACTCACAATGGACCCGAAGATCCATGACAAAACAGTGGTAAAAGAATGGACTTTAGAAAGTGGTACTGGATGCAATGGATAGCCATATGGAAAAACAAAAAAAGTATGACCCTATTTCATACCATACATAAAAAAATCAACTCCAGATGGACTATAATTCTGAAAGTAGAAAGTACAATAGAGCTTTTAGAAAATACCACAGAACATCTTTATCACCATAAGTTAGGCAAAGATTTATTAAAAGAAAACAAAAAGCAATAAGTCAGATTCCTAAATCAAACTTCATTAAAATGAAGACTTTCTTTTCATCATAAGACACCATTAGAGAGTAAAAAAGCAAGCCACAGGCTAAGAGAAGATTCATCATACATATACTGAAGAATTCATATCCAATATACGTAAAGACTCTACAATTCAGTAAGAGACAATACAATTTTTGCAGAAGCCAAAAAGCATATTTCACAAAAGAAGACTTTCAAGTATCCAATACAGGTACTTTAATAGTGTTAATTATCAGGCAATTGCAAATTACTCCACCATGAGATACTATGACACTTCCACAGAGGGACAAATTTCTTAAGCTGACAGTATCAAGATGCAAAACAATGGAAATCTTATACACTGGTGCTATGAATATAAAACTGGTATAATCACTTCCAGAAACTGTGTGGCAGTATTTACTGAAGACAATATACATACCATGTGACCTAGCAAATTCTACAAGATATACACCCAATAGAAAAGTACATATTTTTACATCAAAAGACAGGAACAGGAATGTTTCACAGCCCCAAGTGAAACAACCTAATTAGCCTAAATGTCACCAACAATGCAATTAAGTAAATTAATTGTGGACTATTCATAAAATGAAATTACTATATACCAATAAAAAAGAATAACTATATTGCACCAGTTTGGATGAATCTCAGATAAAACTGAGCTTTTTTAAAAAAAAAAAACTTTTTTGCTGAGTAGCAAAAAAAAAGTCAGACATGAAAGAGTTTATACTTTTTACACTTATATAAAGCTCAGTGATATAGTGTTTTATGAAGCACTTTCTTGGCTGTGCAAGAGTTACTGGAGAACTAGTTATACAGGAAGAGAAACAACTAGCAGACTACTATAATGATCCTGGTATTCAAATCACCTAGTAAATACTTACCACATAATATATGGATAATACTTGAAGTACAGAGACAATCTATAGGAAAATTTGACAGGTCTTGCTGACTGACCCTGGGCTAGAGAGAAAATTGAAAAGAGGGAAGAATCAAAGTTCACTACATGGTATCAAGCATGGGTAAGGGAAAGATGGCACTAATGACAAAAGTGCCAATGACTCAAGTCAGGCTGAGAGTAAAGTAACACTCATGTCTCTGAGTGCAGGCTAAAAGACTATTACAAAGAACTTGCCAGGCCCAACAGGAGCATCTGAAAATTATTGCTTGATATTGGTATTAGTTGATTCAACAGGATGGATCATTTGAGAGGTCAAGGGCTGAAATCAATCTAGTAAGAACACAAGTGAAACTCATTATCCAAATGTACTAATTCCCAGATGATCCTTGTTCTTTACACTCCAGGAAAACCTACAATGTCACCTCTGCACTCACTCTGGCTTGACGTCGCTTCACTTCACTTCTCAGCTCATCTCGTAGACGTCTCAGTTTATGAATCTTGATCCTGAGAGCATGTTCGACTGCCTGTGCTCTCTGTGGATCTTCTAAGTTTTTATGAGATCTGTTCACTTGAATCTCTAATCTTTCCAAGTGAGCTAAAACACCTGAGAAAAGTAAAAAGACAATTTCACAAGAAGCCGGGGATTTCTAACTCTGGCAACAGGAAGCATTTCAGTGGGGAACCCAGGGTGGCTCTTTTTTCAGAACCTAGCCCACTAAAATGTTAGACATTGGCCACAGTTTATAAAACCAGAGGAGCTGACAACAGAAATCAATGATAAGCAACCTCTTAGGCTCAGTACTAATGTACAAGTAGTCTCTGACTAGGACAATGCCTAAAGAGAGCATTTTCTGAATACAACTCATCTCAGTTACCCATGATAATAAGGACTTAGGAGAAAACAGGGTCACCAGATTCAGGGTCTCTCAGAAACTTTTAAAATATAGAATTAGGGGTGCCTGAGTAGTTCAGTTGCTTAGGTGTCTGCCTTCTGTTTGGGTCATGATCCCAGGGTCCTAGGATCAAGCCCTGTGTCTGGCTCCGTGCTGATCCTTCTCCTTCTCCCTCTGCCTACTGCTCCCCCTGCTTGTGCTCTGTCAAATAAATGAATAAAATCTTAAAAATATTTTTAAAATAAAATGCAGAATTATTTTTTAAATTGGCTTTTATGCATGTATTCCCAAAGTGCTAATGCAGATCTCTTTGGATTTAGACATTCAGAGAGACTTAAACTAAATACACTGAAGCTCTGCAAAGTATTATTCAGGAAAGTCTGAGTGGCTCAGTGGTTGATCTGCCTTTGGCTCAGGGTGTGATCCCGGGGTCCTGGGATCGAATACTGCATCAGGCTCCCCACACGGAGCCTGCTTCTCCCTCTGCCTGTGTCGCTCTCTGTGTCTCTCATGAATAAATAAAATCTTAAAAAAAGTATTATTCACAAAGGACTATAAAGATACACACTAAAGGGAACTGCCTATCAGTATTACTGTGTATTAGAAAAGGAAAACAAGTTCATGGTTGGACAGAAATTGAGGCAAATCCCAGTTCCCAAGAGATTAAGGACCAATTTAGGAAAGGTCAGTTTCATAATGCCAATCCAGTCTAACAAAGCATTTGCTGAACATTTCCTACACGTTAAGACACTTGTGCTAGATGCTTTACTTGCAAACCATGTAAAGAATTAAAGCATGGGGCAGCCTGGGTGGCTCAGCGGTTTAAGCGCCTCCCTTCGCCCAGGGCATGATCCTGGAGTCTCGAATGGAGTCCCACCTCAGACTCCCTGCATGGAGCCTGCTCCTCCCTCTGCCTGTGTCTCTGCCTCTCTCTCTCTGTGTCTATCATGAATAAATAAATAAAATCTTAAAAAAAAAAAAAAAGAATTAAAGCATGAAGAGAATACTCATTTAATCTCCACAACCACCATCGTTAAGGCTATTATTTGCCTCCATTTTCCAGATGAAGAAATTGAGGCAGAGAAAAGCAAAACAACTTGCCCAAGGCCAGGAAATTTCTTTTTTCTTAAAGATTTGATTTATTCATTCATGAAGACACAGAGACAGGCAAAGACACAGGCAGAGGGTGAAACAGGCTCCCGGCAGGACTCGATCCCAGGACCCCAGGGGATCACGCCCTGAGCTGAAGGCAGCTGCTCAACCACTGAGCCAACCAGGTGCCTCAAAGCCAGGAAATTTCTTTCTCTCTTTCTCTTGTTCTTTTTCTTTTTTCCTTTCTTTTCCTTTCTTTTTCTTTCCTTCTTTCTCTTTTTCTTTTTTTTTTTTTTTTTTTAGATTTTTTTATTTATTTATGACAGACACACACACAGAGAGAGAGGCAGAGACAGAGGGAGAAGCAGGCTCCATGCAGGGAGCCCGACGTGGAACTCGATCCCAGGACTCCAGGATCACGCCCCGGCCAGAAAGCGGCGCTAAACCGCTGGGCCACCGGGGCTGCCCCAAAGCCAGGAAATTTCTAATTGCAGAGCTAGGACTCCAACCTAGGTCTAACCAACACCAAAAGTCACTGCCTGGCACCGACCCTTTCACAGGTGTAATGCGAAAGGGACCCCAAAAAAATCTTGAGGGATCCGTGGGTGGCGCAGCGGTTTAGCGCCTGCCTTTGGCCCAGGGCGCGATCATGGAGACCCGGGATCGAATCCCACGTCGGGCTCCCGGTGCATGGAGCCTGCTTCTCCCTCTGCCTGTGTCTCTGCCTCTCTCTGTGTGTGTGCCTATCATAAATAAATAAAAATTAAAAAAAAAAAATCCTGAAAAGAGAGCTCACTGGCTAACCTGTAGCTCTGAATATAAACAATGAGCATGTCATGAACACACCCTATCGGTATAAAAACGGGCTGGAACCTACAAATATTTGAAGAATTTTCCTATGCGATGAATGATCTTAGCTGCCTGTCCCTCTGAGTCTTCAATGTTTTTTGCTCCTTTCACCAAAATGTTCCCAAACAGGCCAGGTCATACATCGTTCATTGGAGGAAGGGGCTCTTTTGACCTAGGGGTCATCTCGGCAGCAGTAGTAAGGGGGAAAGGCGACCCGGGGAATACCTCCTTTGGACTTGCCGTCATTCGCCCACTCCATCTCCTTAGATTTCTACAGGCCGTGCTATGAAGTTGTGCAGGCAAGCGGTAAGAGGGACCCGGATACCCTTGCTGGCAAAAGACAAAAAAAGAAAGTCACACCTATTCACGGGAAGACGCGCACAAGTCAGGCACGCACCGTCGACCCCCGGACAGTCCAAGTGTCTGTCACCACTAAGAACCAGCGCCCCCCCCCGCCCCGCCCCTCCCGTTCCCGGTCCCCGCCGGCGGTGTCCCCGTCTACCTGCCCAGCGCGCGCCCCACTACACGGCTTTCTAAGAGGCCGACAGCCTTCCACCCTGGTCACGGTCCTGTCCGTCACTGGGTCTTCCGCCTCCTTTCCTCCGCGCTTCTCGCTCGCGCACGACAGGGATGAGAATTCCCGCCCTTCACGCCTTCAAAATCAAACCAGTCGGACCCAGCGTGCTTTGCGTCCCCACCGTACAAAAACATGGCGGCGCTCAGGGCCCCTCCCTCATCCCGGCATGCACCGGGGAGTAGGTCCGGCCTTTCTGTGGGCCCGGAAGATGGCGGCCTCCGGCGCAGAGCCGCAGATCCTAGTCCAATACTTGGTGTTACGAAAGGATCTATCGCAAGCTCCATTCTCCTGGCCAGCGGGCGCACTAGTAGCGCAGGCCTGTCACGCAGCCACTGCGGCCTTGCATCTTCATCGCGACCACCCCCACACGGCCGCTTACCTCCAGGACCTGGGGCGCATGCGCAAGGTGGTCCTCGAGGTGAGGCACCCGGCGGAGGGGGAGGGGTGCCGAGGCCGTCGAGAGCGGAAGTGGGTGTGGCCCTGAGGCCGAGGCCTAACCTCGCTGAGCGGCTGCCGCTTGAGTGGGGAGGAGTTCTTTACACCTAAGTTTCGGAAAGGGGTTCAGGGACTTGCGCCCTCCCTCGGTGGCTGGACGGGGCCTGACTGTGTCAAGTGTGGACGTCGGGCGGGTTATCGATGCTTCCGGCACCCCTCCGCTCTAGGGGAGCGTCCCTCCTGGGGCAGGCCTGTGAGGGGGGAGGCAGGTGGAACGAGGCCCCGCCCTTCTATCCCCGCGGCCCGCGCTACCGGCCGCCCCCTCCCCCGAGAAACCTGCAGAAGGGACAGGGACACGGGGTTCCGTATTGCCAGCGAAGTCCAAATGAAGCATTGCCAGGCTATGACGCCTAATTATTTGAAAGTAAATGTGCACCTCCTATAACTTGAACTTAGCATCATAAATCCCAGACACCACCGGTGTTCTGCAGATGGCCAGACAGGTCTTACCCTTAACCTCTCTCCGCGTGTCAATTCTGCTGCTGGAAATGTATCTTAGGAAGATAACTCAGATGCACCAAAGAGCATTCATTGTATAGTCCAAGAATATTCAGAGGAGCACTTTATAATAGTAAAAACGTGGAGATTACCAAATTTCCAACACTAGCGATTGGTTCATTTTATGCTCATAAAATGTGCTATTATAAGGCTCGCATAAATCATGGTTTTGGAGCATGTTTAGTTGGCATGGAAGAGTGCTCATTACCGAGCTGAACTGTATTCTATACAAAATGATACAAATTTGGGGAGGAAAAACTAAGGAAATACATCCAAATATTAAGCAGGTGGTGGGACTTTGGTTATTTTCTAATGCTTCTCTATTCTTTTTAGTTTTCTACATTAAGCACATATTTTACTTTATAGTATAAGATTTATTTTAAACAAACTAGGACCCTTGGGTGGGGTGATCCCTTTATGGGTAGCTGGCAAGAGCAGATGATCTTTCAAGAGAAAAACTGTTGGGTAGTAAAATATCAGGCAATAACCTGTGGGAAAATATCTCGAGAATCCGAGCAGATAGAAAAGAAGCAGATAGCTTTTTATTTAGACTCTTTTTATAGGAAGAGAGCCTCAATAAATCATCTGGTTCAGACATCCCTCCTCCCTTACATTCAGGCAGATAATATATTTACCCCTTTTCTCAGAGAGATCTAAAGCCCACAGAGATTAGGTGACCTCCTCTAAGTCAAAGACATCTGGCGATTCCTAGTTGTTAGCCGTAACTCAGGAAAGGGACCAAGGAGTCACCAGGGATTAAATTAAGGTGATGCTGTAGCTGTAAAGACCAGTAAAATAGAAGAACATGCCAAGGCTAACTCCATTTATTGGGTGCTTACTATGTGCCAGGCACTAGTCTGAGCCTAATTCCATTGAATCGTCACTACTACTAGGAAGCGTTATCATCCCTGTTCTATGAAGGGGAAAGAAAGGCCCAGCTTAGTCATGTAACTCATCAAAATCACACAGTCACTGGGGCACCTGGATGGCCCTGTAGGTTAGGCATGTGACTCTTGATCTCAGCTCAGGTCTTGATCTCAGAGTCCTGAGTTTGGGCCCCCAGTTGAGCTCCACACTGAGTGTGGAGCTTACTTTATTTTTATTTTTTTTAAAGATTTTATTCACAAGAGACACACAGAGAGAGGCAGAGACACAGGCAGAGGGAGAAGCAGGCTCCATGCAGGGAGCCTGATGTGGGACTCGATCCTGGGTCTCTAGGATCATGCCCTGGGCCCAAAGCAGGCTCTACACTGGGTGGCAGGCCACCCAGGGATCCCCTAAAGCTTACTTTAAAAATAAAGACTGCACAGTCACTAAGGGACAGAGCAAGAGTTTGGACTCACTCTAACTCACTGTCCTGTGCTGCTGATGCTGAAGAAGGAGGCAGAAGTCCATGGGTTTGCCTCTAGCATGGCTGTGTCCAGAAGACTCTAGATATAGAGTGACAGTCTTGGTTGGCCTCCTCTAATTTGATAGGACAAACCTCTAGTTATCTGAGTGGCTTCTGCCTTACTAGGCAAAAAAAAAAAAAAAAAAAAAAAAAAGCCACATAACACAAATTATTTTCTGAGTGCTAGCTCTAACACTTGCTGTTAATAGGAGTCAGTGTGGTGATGAGGATGATGAGAAACAATTGGAGAAAGATGTGGGAGGAATGGTTTGCCCTCTGAGCCAACAAATAGGAGCTATCCCAGCAAAAGGAAAACCCTTCAGGGTTGGTTGGGGTTGGGTGGGAAGGGAGAATGGAGATGGAGGTAACATGCTGTTAGTGTCATATCCTTCTCAGCTCTTAAAGTCAGAGCTGGCTGAAGGATTAGGGATAGCTGTATGGGCACCACCATAAGAGAAGTAGAAAATACAGAGAGCATAATTACGGACAACACATACAGCATCCCAAGAGAGAAGAGAAAAATCTTTCCACTTTAGAAACAGGCATATTACGCCTTTCCCTGTCCTGCCCCCAGGCTCCTTATCTAAGGGCCTACGGAGAGAACATGGCAGAAGGGGCAGTGAGCTGTTGCTTCTGGAGATGTGCTTTAGGCTCCTTTGTTGAGAGAACTGTTCTCCTACTTTCAGTCAATTTCAGTCAAGAGGAACCCCTTCCATGCTTGTTTTTTCATTCTTCTTTTTTTTTGGACTTCATTTATTTATTCATGAGAGACACAGAGAGAGAGGCAGAGACATAGGCAGAGGGAGAAGCAGGCTCCCTGCAGGGAGCCCAATGTGGGACTCGATCCCAGATCCCTGGAACACGCCCTGAGCCTAAAGCAGATACTCAACCACTGAGCCATGCAGGCATCCCCATGCTTGTTTTTTCATTGCCTTCTGATACTTCCTAAGTAGGCCATTTGATCGGTGTTCTTTGCTCTGCCACTGGTAGGCTGCAGATGAGAGCACCCTGAAGGAGCTGGCTGAGACCCTGCAACAGAAGAACATTGACCACATGCTGTGGCTGGAGCAGCCTGAGAACATCGCCACTTGCATTGCGCTCCGTCCCTACCCCAAGGAAGAAGTGAACCAGTATTTGAAGAAGTACCGATTGTTCAAATGACTAATGTTATCAGTTGCCTTGATGTATTTGAGTATCGACTGGATCCAGAAACTGCATGCCATCCATCCCTAAGCATCATCTTTCAATGGCAACTCACTCCTCCCTTGAGGTTATTAATGTTTCTTGAGGGTCAAACACATCTTCATATTAAAGTTGTCATTAATAAGACTCCTCTTATTTTTAGTTATTAATTAGTTCAGGTGGGGAAAGTAGGTGAGCCACAATATTGTCTTTAGGTCATTGTTCAAATGGAAGATTTGATTAGACTCCTACCCAGGGGCCAAGGAAACAAACACCCTTCCTTCTCTATTAGGAATAAGGGTTCTTCCAGTCACCCAAGTTTAAAACTTTGCCTTTGAATTCTTTATTTCTTGTTCACATCCTGATATATTCATTGAATCTAGGACAATATCAACTCTAAGATACGCCATTATTTTATAGGAAATGGTTATTAGGAAAGAAGAGATGCTACCAGTTAAGACATGCAATTAACCATGAGATGCATTTCAGTTTCAAAGATGTTAAGGTTTTGGGGACCCCTGGGTGGCGCAGCAGTTTGGCGCCTGCCTTTGGCCCAGGGCGCGATCCTGGAGACCCGGGATCGAATCCCACGTCAGACTCCCGGTGCATGGAGCCTGCTTCTCCCTCTGCCTATGTCTCTGCCTCTCTCTCTCTCTCTCTCGTGTGTGTGACTATCATAAATAAATAAAAATTTAAAAAAAAGATGTTAAGGTTTCAAAGATGTTCAGTTTCAAAGATGTTAAGGCCTTGAACAGAAAGAAAGAGAAACTTTCATATTTGATTTGTCAAGTACCATCTCTATTGTCTTCAGTGCTACCACCCTGCATCAGGCTCTCACTTTGCTCATCCGGGTGTCCCACTGGTCTACTCCCCTCTCGTGTAGCCTGGCTACAGTCCAGTGGATGTTCTCCCACTAGGTTTACTTAGGAACATTGAGTACCCTCTTCAGGGTAGACTCCTACTTGCCCACAGAATAAAGGCAGAACTCTTCAGCTTAGCCTCAGACCGTCCATTTTATATTTCTTACCTAGCTTTTTTTTTTTTTTTAAAGATTTTATTTGAGAGTGAGAGAGCACAAGTGGGAGGAGGGGCAAAGGGAGAAGCAGGCTCCCTGCTGAGCAGGGAGCTCCATGGAGGGCTCCATCCCAGGACCCCAAGATCATGACCTGAGCCAAAGGCAGATACTTAACCAACTGAGGCACCCTGCCACCCGTCCTACCCAGCTTTTTAAGTTTATCTTCTATTCTTTCCTTATCCAAACTTACGTTTCCACAAAGGCACTCCAGTTGCTGCCTGCCAGTCCCTGACCTGGCAGTCAAGCACTAGTACTCTTCCCTCCCCGTTCCCACCTCTGGACTTTATAAACTATTTCTGGCTCAAATTTGATCACCTTCACAATGTCTCACCCAGCCCAAAATGCAGTTCCCTTCTCTGAACAT